CATAGTAATAATAATGTAAATATCGATATTCATCCAATGAAAATTATTATATAACACCTTTGATAATAGGTAAAGGAAAATGAGCTTTTATGTGGTTATGATGGGATAGGGAGGTGAAAGATTGCTAAATCCTCATCTTCCCTAGCTATAATTCAATAGATAATGCCCAAAATTAAAACATCAAAAAGTAGCAATATAGCCCTTTTTCTGATAAGCTATGGATATGAATATCAAATAAAGGTGGTTGTTAAATTACAGGGACTAGGTTGAATTGAATTTTGTATCTTTGTGTCAAGCACATAGTTTGGTACACAGTAAACTTTAAAAGTGTTTGTTGAGTGCACCAGTATGTTATCGTTCTTTATATATCAGGACCAAGTAGGGTTCATCCCAGAAATGGAACTATTGTCCAAAACTAGACTGTGTTAACCATGTCTTTTATTTTCTGTATCCGATACTTTGACATCTGAGAACTTAGTGACCCAAAGTAGGATATGGTGTTGGGGATGTGTGAGAAACTATTAGAGTTTTGTAATATTTGACTCTTTAAACTATATGCCTGTATAAATTTAATGAAAAATATTTAAATTTAAGATACATGTAAATGACCAAGTAATTGCAAAGATATTTGGGGGGTTCGCCACCTTTATTTTGTATGCCATTTGCTTCTAAACTCTTTATGGTAACAATTTCCTAGCAAATACTTGAATAGATCCAACTAAAGTTTAATTTTTAAAATTTTTCAAAGCTAAAGGTAAAGAACATACTTCATTTGGGTATTGTGGCCCTATATTAATGCCATTCTTTGGAACAGTCCATTTTAGTGATCAATTCGAATGTTTTACTTGTAAATAATGTTGGAATGCCACAGCCCAAATAGTGGTTAATTTGGAAAAGAAGCAACAGAGAAACTAACTGATATTAAGTACTTACTATGGACTGGGCACTCTGCTAAATAATTTCACATCTGACGTGATGGCAGACAGGGACTAGGTTGAATTGAATTTTGTATCCTTTGTGTCAGGCACATAGTCTGGTTCACAGTAAGCTTTAAAAGTGTTTGTCGAGTGCACCAGTCTGTTATCATTCTTTATATATCAGGACCAAGTAGGGTTCATCCGAGAAATGGAAGTATTGTCCAAAACTAGACTGTGTTAGCCATGTCTTTTATTTTCTGTATCTGATACTTTGACATTGAGACCTTAGCGACCCTGGAAGGACTGCTCTTCCTGGGGTTAGTCAGTTCCTAGAGATAGTAAACAACTTGCCCATGAGCATCCTTTTCAAAGCAAACCACCCCATCCAGAGCCCACAATACAACCACCTGTTTTATTGGGCTCTCAAACTCAGGGCCACTATTCACTTGCTCTAATCATCCCAGGAGCAGGTACCAGACAACTAGGGACAGCCCCTGTACTAGAGCCTGATGAGATTATTCAAATTAGCCAATCGTAAGCTGCTTGCTTTGCCCATTCCTTCCCAAGGAAAATACAATAAAGGCTCTTGCCCACAGTTTGTCCCTCTTCCTCTGTCTCCTGACTGATTCCAATGCTTCTTCATGTGACCCCCTGTGGCATGGCATGTCCCCTTCTCTTGGGAATTGTGGGTGATAAACTATCTTTTCAATGGCAATCCACTAATCTGTTGGCCTCTCTATACCTCAAATTTTCTATTAATATGCAATATTTCAAAACATAGGCAATCAAGAAGCACTCAAGTGAATCAAATTGAAGGCTTCTGTATATTTCATCTAGTGTCAACTAATGCTAAATAGGTGATAACTATATCTAAAAAACACTTAGAGGCTGGGTGCCGTGGCTCATGCCCGTAATCCCAGCACTCTGGGAGGCCGAGGCGGGAGGATTGCTTGAGCTCAGGAATTCGAGACCAGACTGAGCAAGAGCAAGACCCTGTCTCTACTATAAATAGAAAGAAATTAGCCAAAAAACAATTAAAAATAGAAAAAATTAGCCGGGCACAGTTGCACATGCCTGTAGTCCCAGCTACCCGGGAGGCTGAGGCAGGAAGATCGCTTGAGCCCAGGAGTTTGAGGTTGCTGTGAGCTAGGCTGACGCGACAGCACTCTAGCGCAGGCAACGGAGGGAGACTCTGTCTCAAAAAAAATAAAAATAAAATAAATAAAAAACACTTAGAAAATTCTAACTTGGTAGCACAGTCTAGCAAATAATCCCTGTTGAACACTCACCACTGAGAAAATATGGGCTATATTTATAAGTATGTTAATGTATAGTTATAGTTAATGTATAGTGATAATAATATTAGCTAATATTTGTGTAATGCTTTTCCATTCACTAACACTTTAATATATATTTCAATTAATCCTCAGAACAAACATGTGAAGTATGCACAGGAATTTATATTATTAATATTTTCAGTTTTATTACTGAGGATACAGATGTTTAGAGTGGTGAAATGTCTTATCTAACACTATACAGCTTAAAAGGAAGAAAAGTAGAACTTTTTTGTTGTGAGGGTGAAATGTATAATAGTCATAAAAATGCTTTGCCAACTTAAAAGGTATTTTCAAAATCCTAATTTCTTTGGCCTAATGTACATTTACATTAACAGGTTTAAAACCTCAAAAAGGCTTTTGGACCCACTGGAAACTGAAAGAACTCTCTACAACAACCATACATGGTAGCAAGAAAGCGCCTGCAAAATCAATAAAGGAAAGGATTGCAAGCAGTCAAGAATGCATATCGAATAGTAAGCAAATTTTTTTGTAAACTGCAGAATGGAATAGGTAGCCAAAATCAAGTATATTAGGTTATTTTATTAGGCAGAATTTTCTAATGATTTATTTTTTGGTAAGGGTCTTAAAATAACATTTGATTTATAGATTGGTGTTATAGTGGTACACTATGCTTAAGTCCTTTTTCCATTTGCCTAAGATACTTTTTATATTGATTTTTAGGCTCTTTTTATCTTTATGTACACTGCAGATGTTCTTTTATTTGTATTGCTAAATGGTTAGTAATGT